CTAAAAATAAATTAAGGGAGTATAAATCTACATATAAAGAAGAAAAAGAGTATTAGAATAAAAAAAAAAGTAAAAATAATTTCATTCCATCATATAAATTGTTAAATTTTCATTTAAAATTTATATCTAAAAAATTTAAAAAAATTAAATTAAATTTACTAAAAATAAATTAAGGGAGTATAAATCTACATATAAAGAAGAAAAAGAGTATTAGAATAAAAAAAAAAAGTAAAAATAATTTCATTCCATCATAACTAAGTTTGGACTAACTACATTGTAAAACCCATGAGATATGAATGGTTTCACTCCCAAATTTGTTACCAATTTGGTTAGTATAAATTTAAAGACAATTAAGTTAGTACAAATATCGCACCTAGGAGTTTATTATTAAATACTTCTTCTATTCTAAAATGGTTATTATTGATTGATTTTAAATTTATTTTAAATTAATTGTTATTTTTTTATATTTTAAGGTAGATAAATACTTTTTTCTACTTTAATTTTATTATTATTTATTTTTAATTAGTTATCCTATCCCAAAAAATTTTATTTTATCTTTTAATTTGTTTAATGGTAATATAAATAAGTATATAAATTATTTTTAAATCTTTAATTAAAAAAATAAAAAATAACAATTATTTTAAAATAAAAAAATAATATAAAATTTATATTTTAATATTTTATATAAAATGACTCATAACATGTCATTAATCTCAAATTTTAGTATGATAAGATTCCTTTTTTTTATCATTATTAAAAAAGAAAATATAGGCGATGATTTTGTAAGTGCGGGTAAAACCCGACTGGTCCACCGCTGTAGTGGACCCAACGAACCCGATCCATCACCCAAGATTATTATATAATTAAATGATTATTAACCGCGTTTAAATTGCCGGTCCAAAACCAAAATAAGAAGGAAAAAAATCGGTGGGGTTTAACAAAGGGGGGCGCCTGCAACGACGGCGACGGAAACTGCAAATCCGGAGAACGTAAATACCCGGTCTCATTAGCCTGCCCGACAATGGTTTCTCTTTCCACTTGGTGCCGATACATAGTCAACAAGCTCGAGTACTCCGTCTCTCTCAGTTTGAAGGTCGCACTCAATTTTTCCTTTCCTTGGTTCTTCTGTTCCTGTTGTATTTATTATTATTATTTTCAATATCTGTTGTTTAAGATGTGTCTTCAGTATATGGAATTTGATTTTTTGGGTTGTTTTATTTCGTAAAGTTCAAATCTTTCTGTTTCTGGGGTTTGGGTGTATTATCATTTCTGGTGTTTGTTTCTCTGCTGTTTGCATTTTTCTTTTCCTTTCTTTTATTCTTTTTTTAAAGTTTGAATTTTTATTGGTAATTAGATTCATCTATGACGGGTGTTTAGAATGTTTGGCTCATCTTAACATTGATGTTGTGTTGGCCATTTGTTTAATGCTTCGATTGGTTTCTGCCCCTTTTATATGTTGAAAGTGGAAATTTTTGTAGTTTTTGTTAAATGAATATTAAATTTTATCTTGATGTTCTACTCTCTTTTTGACTCTTGTGAGACTGCTCTGAGGGTTGAGTTGTATTTTTTGACAAATTTCATGTTGTGGGTTGGATTGTTGCATGTTTTATAAGTCATGTTATCCAAATTCTTGAAGATTTACCAAAGATAGGGAATAATAACAATGACAATGATTTTATGTTGTATTTTTTCTTTTTTTGAGCCTGTTTGCTATGATGAAGGTTAAAATCATTTGGCTAAAAAATGAGAATAACACATTCATATTGAAAAACTATGCCCTGTTCTCTAAGTTGGAAAACTATGCCCTATTCCATTCAGATGTAAATTTTATGGGGCATGGCATGAACTTTTCCATGAATGTATATGCTTTTCTCTTCAAGGATTAGGAGGACGTACCTTTTTAGAAGACCAATATGAACTAGCATGCACTGATAAAATGTTAGATGGTCTTACTTGATTTCCTCTTTTCCAAGTTTATGAGGATCTGCATCGTTTTGGCTTCTAAAATGGATTTATGACCTTGTTGAGGATGAGAAAATTTCTTAGCCATGCATCAATTTTAGCAAACAATTGTCTATTGTGGTCTACAAGAAGAGAATAGATAAATAAGCTCAATATGAGAATTATGATTATAAATTTCGAACTCAACTTTAATTTTGTTTCAAAGAAAAATAGGAAGAGAAGGTAAGCTATTGAATTCTAAGGCTTTTGTACTGTTTTTTTTACTATTTACTTTGCCATTATTTAGATTTAAGTAAGGCTTAAAAGATAGTCAAGCTGGTAAATTACAACACAGCTAGACCATTTATCCTATGAACAACTTAGACAAATTTTCTATGCAACTTTTGCTAGTTGGCCAAAGTTGAACTTGTAGTCCAGCTTCTAACACATGGAAAACTTAATAGGCAAATTTTATATTTTTTCTAAAAAATTAAAGACTGTTGAAGTTTGCAATTTAAGCTTTTATAGTGAAAAGAATTAAAGAACTGTTACTCAAGTTTCAAACAAGAAGAGGTCTTTTTTTTTCATTTGTTCATTCTCCTTGCATTACTTGAAAGGAGCTTACATTATTAACTGACCACTTTAATTCAATGGTCCCTTAATCTTTTCCTCTCTGCTTTCAAATGGTTCCTCCACTGTTTTGACAATGTCTATAATTATGGTTAAGATTGTTGGTGCTTATTGGTTCCATCTAGATTGTTCTAACATAATGCCTAATGTGAAGCAGAATTACAAGGGAGGTCAAATCAGTAACCAAGAAGTGAACCAAGTTGTAAAAAATCTATTTCAGGGAAAGTTGACTTACTTCCACTGGAATAAAGGAGAGGAAATGGCTCCAACTATGGGAGTACATGGCGGAACTCTTCTTGTTAGGAAGATACCAGATGCTGATACATCGTAATTTTGCATCTTTTCTTCTTAGAATACTTCTTTATTGTGCAGAAAGGCTTATTTGCAGTTTATTATTTTTTAGACAAGTTTTAATCGAAGATTTTCAGTTTTTCTAAGACTTAAGTTTTCTTAACTTTTATGCATAATATTGGATTTTTACAGCCATGTTTTTGTTGGAGACGTTGTGGTCATGAAGGACCCTGAGAATCTGGATAACCATCTAGTCAGAAGATTAGCTGCTGTTGAAGGTTATGAAATGGTGTCTACTGATGAAAAAGATGAACCATTTACTCTTGAAGAGGACCAGTGCTGGGTGCTGGCTGACAATGATAAACTGAAGCCCAAGGTATAAAATATTAATAAATTATCATCAATAAACTTATAGAAAGCCATTAGTGCTATTGAGATTAGAGGAAGCTGGTGCATAGGATTGCTTCCAACTTGCCCTCATTTTATGGAAAACAGAAGAGAAAAGAAGTTAAAATTTAACATAATTTAGCAAATGATCAGCTACCAAGATCCTAGGTTTCCTTCTTGGAGATGGATAAATGGTACATTTACACATCACTTTAGCTGCTTTTGAGCCTATTCTTAGTCTGCTGTCTTCCAGTTCTCATCGCTTGTGGCTTATGGCTTATCACTAATAAATAGAAAGATCAAGTCAATTTTGTATACTGTATGTTATTTCTAGTTTATTTATAATCATCACCAGTCTTCCAACATTACCATCTTGTATACTTATTTCTTAAGCTTCTTTTGGATAAATTCTCCTACTAATTTTGAAAGATCAGTTTAGTACTTTGATTTCATGTACTGGTTTATGGTTTAATATATGTTGAGATGCCCACATGACAACAGTTTTATTGATTTTGTCAAGATGATAACCAAGCCATGCTTTTTTCTCATTTCTTTGGATGACAGGAAGCAAGAGACAGTCGATTATTTGGTCCCATTCCCATGACAAACATAATTGGGAGGGCTATTTATTGTCTACAAACTGCTGTTGATCACAGTCCTGTTCAGAACAGGTTAGCCACTTGTCTCTAATATCCCGAACCATTTTCAGTTATAAATTGGTAAAAACTTTGTTGGTGATCCTTGTGTTCCTGCAACAGTCATTACAGCATGCAAAGGGATTCACCAGTGCTTGAAGTAGAACTTGACATTGATGAGATGGTGAAGAATCACAAAACGTAAACCATTGCTACTTACCACTTACTCTTTTGGTTTGTACTTTGTAGGTATCATTTTTTTTTTTTATTGTTCTCTTGCCCATTTTTCTCAGTGGGAATGTTTTTAGTTTAACTCTCTGGCAGTAGAAAATAAAATTGATGTATCAGGTTTGAGTTATGCCTCAGCGTTTATTTATCTTCGACAGATGCTGGAATTGGTAATTGTTTCTATCATTCTGTCTGAAGAAAGGAAAAGCACTTCCTGTTGAATTTTGAGTTTCAACCATATTTAAGCTTGTTGCTCTGGATATCTCTGTAGTTTTAAAACTTTACTAAACTTGTGGGGAAAATATAATTTGTTAAAGTATCCTTACGAAGATGGATCATGGGAAATACAAAATTTACTTGAATATAAGTTTCAATTCAATGATTAGTTTTTGAAAATATTATAAATTAAAATATGATATTTTTGAGATATTTTCTATAGAAAACATCTTGCAAAACATCTATCTCATATGGATAAACATATATAAAATTATTCGCCATTCTTTCGGAGAATGCAATCATTGTAATTGTTTTTGTCATTCGTCCAGCCCCGACTGTAAACAACTAAATTCATTATTAGTGGTGCTCCCATTTGACCTCATGGCGCCCACTTATCAAGGATTAAACCAGTTACATAATAATTTCTCCATAAATAAAACAAAAAAAAAAGGGCAGTCCTTTTGTACCCAAAAAAGTAGTGTTTATATTTCAATTCAGATTGTACAATGAAAGTGTATTTTGAATACTAAAATCTCCGGCCAAAAATAAAAATAAATAAATAAAAACATTGAAATCACAGTGGTACTCTTAACATTGAAAAGATATTGGTAATGAGGACGTTAGTAATTCGTAATCTGCAATCTGAACTAAAAATTATGTAGAAATCATTGGGCGGTGAAGTTGTAGCGGCTGTGGCATGTAGAGATCATGCGGCGGTGCCCAGTGAGGTTGCGGAAGTGTGTAGCATACATCTAGCCTTGCAATGGGCCCAAGACCTGATGTTCAAGAGGATCATTGTTGACAGCGACTGTGTAAGCATTGTGTCTGCCATAAACAACGACATAGCCAATTCAGATTCAGATCCATCTCCAGCGCTGAATAGGTAATTAATTGCCATTTTTCCCCCCAATTAATTAAGTTGCCATTTTTCTCTTGCAATTAATTTACTCTTTGGGATTTTGCCGTGAGCCAGGTCTGTGCCTCATGCGGAGCTGCCATCATTCTACATGGCTATACGCACAAAGAGAGGTAACTAATATATGTTTTTCATTTATTTTTATAATTATCGTGTATTGCACATGTACACTACTCCTAGCTAGTTACCTGTGTTTTTGTTCATACATGTCAGTAGTTTCTTCTTCTTCTTCTTCTTCTTTTTTTCACTAAATCCCCCATGTTTAGAAGTCATGTTGAATTCCAACTAATTTGAATTTGAGTTGCGTTAGACTTCATGAGTAAAGAAACTCTTCTAACACTTATTTCTCTGTTTAGAAGACTTGAATTAGATACCTTACTTATACATGTTAGTAGTTGTATTTAGCTTTCTATCTTGTGCCATGAAACTGGTCTGGTTTGGTTTGATTTGGTTTGTTGGTATGTCTTGTTTATTTTCTTCTAACCAATGCCTCACAGATTGTTACAAATTTTTTTGTTTATGGCAAATAGAGAAATATATTAAATAATAAGAAATTACAACAGAGTCTCTATCTCATAGCATATAAGTAAAATCAAAATAACCTAAGGACAAAATCAGAAGCATAACCTATAGCATTAGTAACATATTTAAATTATGCCAATGACAGATATAGACAATTAAGCAAAGAGAGCTATCTACAACTAGGGATTGAATTTACAATCATTGTATGGGTTAAATAGGGCTACTAATGTAGAAAGGAGAGTCACTATGAGCATTAAGAACTACTAAACATCCTCACCTATTTAACCAGCTTCATGGGAAGAGTAAGAGATTCCAGCAACAAACAGTCCCCAACCAACAAGTTGCCACCCTACTTGTTCTTATAGAAGAACAATCAAAAGGGGTATGGGCCTTTTCATGACAAGCACAAGGCTCCCCAGTCGCCTCCATATACTCCCAATCATGTTCCCATCTTTGCTGATCTCCTTCAAACCCATGTTGTCGAAACTCATTAAGGGAACTAGAACCCCTTTGCCGACTTGAAAATCACGCTTCCCACGCAAACTATAGCCGGCTTTACCAACAACATCCCTTTCCTTTGGCAATCGACTAGCTAATTGGGAACTGGTGTGAACCAAATTTGACGAATTCAACTCCAACCAAGATCCCATCTGAGAAGATGCACCAAAGCGAGATTCTTGCCAATTAAATAGGAGAAACCCATTTCACCGGCAAGATTAATTCTAGTTGCAGCCTTTGAAAATCAATAGATGTAAACCTTAGAAAACCCAAAAAACCTCTACCTTGTGGTCCCTTGGGTTGGAGTTTCCAAAGCAAGATAGCGGCAAGAGGAAGGAGGAGATTAAGAGGAGGAGGGGAGGGGCAAGAAGAAAGGAGGGAAGAAGGAACTCCTATGCCGAAGAGAAACCCTAGGAAGGAAAACTCGCCATCACTGCTCTCAATCCTATAAGTAGTGCACAGGAGAAACCCTAAGGACACAGATTGTTACAATTAAATACTACTATCAGAGATTACCGCAACTAAGGTGATCTAGGGACCAGTATACCTTCAAGCCTGATTTTAAACCAAACTTGATTAATGGCTTTTGGTTGTTGTATTCAGTTTATCAAGTGCACTTGATTCTTTTTGTAGGTTTTTTTTTTTTTTTCTTTTTGTGTGTTCTTGTGGGTAACAGGAACTCTTGCCGGTGCAGTAATCATCAGCCTATTGGTGCAATTATTGACAAAAATTTCATGGTTGGGCAATTATTTGTTAATTTATGACAGCCTTTCATGGTTCGTGTTTGCTAACGTACTCCTCATTATTTATTTTTAGCCTTTTCCTACCTTCTTAATTTGGGTATCACACCTCTTGCCCAGCAAACCACCTGGGTGCTATGTAAAGCACGGTTTGGAATTGGTTGCTTTGTTTGCTGCTGTCATAGGGACGTACATGGTTTTTAGTGCCTACTGCCAAGTTCGATATCATCCAGCTGATCTTAGGTCTACATATTCGTTGATAGAAGAAATGACGCAAGTTAATCTTTATCTAGGTGGCAACTACAAATATGGTATTGTTGCTAGTGTTATCGTATGCCTGATTATTTTCTACTGCAGATTTTGTTCCTATTCATGTCTTGAGGTTTCTGACCTCCCAGTTGGTTTAAGAAGTTTGGAGCAGAAAAGGCCTGTTGATTTTTTTTTCTTCCTTTTTTGGGGGTTGGGGAAAGCGTGGTTAAGATATGGTAAAGGTGTTTCTGCAAGACCAAATGGAGAAGTTGGAAGTCGGTTGCATGACAAGTCCGGGGCACACGGTTCTCTAGGCAAACCTTCTCTGCATTGGTCTTACCCTGTGCAAGCCAAAGCTATTTGCAAAACAGATACAGAGTGCCCTCGGGAATGTGGTTAGAGTGTTTTTCTTTTTCTTTATTTATTTATTTAAATCTTATAGTATTTTTCAATATATATGTATTAAATTATTATATTATTTTTTTAAAAATTATAAAAAATTACAAGTTCACAATAATTTTACATATAAAACTAAAAACTTTATTTTGAAGTTTTATAACCATGTTAACACAAAAATTTATATACAATTATACAATTACTCATTAATATTTTATTTAATTAACCTAACCCTTTGTTTAGTTCATTTCTGAATATTTGAAATCTCATTTACTATCCTACTATCAAGCTTCAGAACCCAAATTCGGAGACGTGGTAGACGCCGTGCACTTGTGAGAGGATCCCATAAATGCACAAGGTTCGAAACTTGTCATATCACAATATGATACCATCAAAATCTGAAGATAATATTTTAAAATTTTTTCTAATATCATAAAATCTCCAAATAGAATTTAACTTACAAGATCATGATCTACATCTAAAATCCATATTCAATTTACAAAATGGCTAGCCTTCTAACTCGTCACTTCCCGTGGTTTCCCTGTCCTCAGTTTCGCTTCCTGAAATGGTGAACAAGGAAAAACAGTAAGATAACTCAGTAAGTAAATATGGAGTGCCCCTTATTAACTTATAGCATGCCAACAAATGTAATCATGAAAAACAAATACGGTACGAAAATGAAATAGAAGTCTCCTCTATAGGTCACTGCCAGTGTTATAAACGTCTTCTCTATAGGTCACTGCCAGTGTTATAAACCTCCCATAGGCACATGATTTACTAGTGTATAATCCCACTAGCAGGATAACAGAAACGAACCGATTCTATCAGTAACATGTCGACATGTGCTAGCGTTTATAAACCTCCCACTAGCGTGCACACGAATAACATGACCATATCAGAGACAAAACAGGCAGAAGTTAACAGAAAATCATACTCTACAGATAATTTCCAGATCATCAGGGTAGTTAAATAAACTTCAAATAGGCATGCTCAAATCAATAAAAATGATAATAATTCCATTTCAAATCGATCAATACTTATGTAAAACGGGTCTAGTCCCACCATCACTTCAAAAACAAATCAAAACATGCTTTTAAAAAATATACAAGCATTACCATAAATTTATTTACCTCACCCGCATAAAATCGAAGACTCGATTTTAGTGCTAAATTGATAAAACGATTAGGAACCTAATTAAAATATTCAAGAATTAATTACTGTACTAAAATCTTCATTAAGTTCGCTCCTACTCATGATACTATTTCTATCGATCTCCACGTGACTAAACCTTTCCAAATTTATTTTTATATTACAAACTAATAATTTAAATTTCCGTTAATTGTTGGCCATCAGTGCATAAACAGTGCCAATAAACAGTACTCATAAACAGTACCTGTGAACAGTATCTGTGAACAGTATATATGAACAGTAATCTCGCAGTAAACAGTAACTGTACTTCAAAAAAAATTTGCCAAAACACTAGCAAATTCACGGGATTTTTTCTCCACAAATCACACAGCAGTCAATTAACACTCAATCACATAAATTCCACTTGAATCAATGCTTAAACTTGTCCTAAAGCTACCGGAATTTCCCCCATTTTTCCAGCAAAATTCGGACACACAAGGCAGCAAATAAAAGCAAATAAATGGACAAATTCGGGGCTTGGAGGGCTGTCAACATACCAGAATTTTCCTAGCACAACCGGAATGCAGTTTGGGGAAGGCCGGCGGGAAATTGGAGGAGCTTTCACGCCACTACCCAAAAATTGAAAGAAACCAAAAGGGATTAAAGTGCACCCAAGCCAAATTAAGGCTGAAAAGATGAAGTTCATGTTGTTTCCTTACCAGAAAAACCGAGAAACTCACCCCCACACACGGCAGAGCAGTGGACGGAAGAAGCAGAGCAGGGCAGATCCGAATTTCTGCAGAGAGGGGGGGGGGATTCTAAGCTCCAAATCTGGTTCTTGGACAAGAAAGAAGGCAAAAACCAAGCTTTCTCACCGGTTTTCAGAGGGGAGGTGCGTCGGGGGGCCTGGGTCTTGTTGCTCGGTGCAGGGGAGGAAAAAGAAGAGCAGACGCGCGGGCTGAAGAAGAAAGAAAGAAGGGAAAAATGGCTGATCCTTATCCAAACCAAATGTCTTTCACTTTTAAGTCTCTGAACTTTTGAATTTTGCCATTAAACCCCAAAATAATATTTCCTCACACAAAGGTCCTTAACTTAGATGCTAGAATTCCCGAAAATTTAGGATATTACACCTACTATTAGAAAAGTGATTATTTTCGAGAAACTATTTCAGTCAAGCATTTAGCTTGATTGAAAAAAATACTTATTTCAATCAAATTTTTTT